AAGGGAGAAAAATGAGGCTCCGTCAAGGAAAACAAGCAAGCTTGGTGTACAGGCTGTGTATAAATGCTTCTTGTGTTTGTGGACATCTGCATGGCCATATTTAAGGACAGCTAACTGGTGATCTGCTAACTCAGTGGTCACCGTGGCCAACACTGATACCCACCTGCAGCCCTCAACCCTTAGCTGACTTAGCCCTGGATAGTGATATTACTCTCTAAATAGTCTCCTCAAGCAAAGTGTTGGCTCTTTTGTGCCTTGGACTCATTGAGACATCGTGGTGTAGGCAAGGACGTTTTTCAGCTTTAATTTTGCGGGGTCTGGGTTAGGCAGAGCGGAGCGGTTTTAACCAGGGGCATGCTTTTGCTGCGAGCCCCGCTGCTGTGTGCTCCACACTGATAAGTCCTTCAAAAGGGATGCCTGTTTTGTTGCTGAAATTTGGATACATCCTGCTTTATCATCCATGTACAGAAGTCCCTTTTCTGATAATGCAGCAGTTTTAAATATACTGTTTATCAAAATAAAGTGGACTTTTTTTTTTCCATGATATAGCTGGAAAAGACGATGCTCTTGCCTTGTTCTGTGTCTCAGACTGGTTTTAGCCACTGAGACTTTAGTACCGCTGATTTTCCTGGGAGATGGGTGAGGAGCATTACAATTTCCCACATGAATTTGAGCCTGTCCTGCCTGCAGCTGTGGAAGCAGGGTCAGATCCCAGCACGGGAGAGTTCGGGTGCCAGCCTGTTCCTGGTGGAAGGACCACCGGGTCTGCGCGGCTCTTGCCACGGGTGCCACTATGTAAAGCATTTCCCATCTCACGAGCAACTGAAAGAACCTCTTGTTGAGTGTTCCGCTGCTTTATGAAGAGCCCCATGCCTGAGTTTGCTCCTGTGTCTTCTGGCACAAATTCCGAGTAACTCGTCCTCCTCGAGGCTTTGTGTGCCATGGCGGGTGAGTGGCTGTGCCGGGGCTGGTGGCACCTTCGTTTGGAGAAAGCTACAGCTGGGCTCTTCTGGGAGCCGGGTGCTGAGCCTGCACCATCCCAGAAAGCTTACTTTTTAAAACTAAAAATAAGCTCTTTCTTTCCTTAGCAGGAAGCGGTCGAGCTGTGCATCACTGCAGGTCTAAAACGGGAATAGCTGGTAGTGGGTGATGTGCAAATGTCCGCCGGCATCCCTGCAGCTCTGGAAGCCCTGCCTGGGCCTGTGCGGCTGCCCCTGCCCTGTCCGCCCCTCCTGGAGCTGGCATGCGGGGCGGTGGGTGCTGCTGGCCCCTACGGAGCCAGGATGAGGTTAATGTGGGCTGAAACCAGCCCTGCCTTGCCGTGGTGCCTGGGTGTCAGGGTCTCCCGAGCACAGCCCCGGCTGGCGCTGCGTTTTGGCTCTGCCCTTGCTCCTGCCTGCCTTTCTGCTCCCCTCCTTTGTTCAGGCAGGCTGACAGGGGAGGAGGGAGGGATACTACCTTGGTACAAGGGCTCTTGGCAGAGCCCTAGTGCTACTACAACCATACAAATCTCTTTCTGCCTGAAGCTAATGTAGAGCTGAAAATTGTTTGTGGGTTTGTCTTAAATGCTGGTTCTTTTCCCCCATTTTAAACAGTGCATCTTCTTTTCCTAAACAAACAGATCACCTCAATTTTTTTCCCTTTATTTATGGGCTTGTTATTTAGTCCAGATGTTTTCAGTTAAAGAAAAATAAATACAGTTTGTGAAGGCAGTCTGGGGTGTGGGAAGAGGAGGCTGCTGTAGCAGGAGGGTCGCAGCCTCGTCGACTGTGTGTCTCTATTCAATGGGGGAGAGGGCATCGGCAGAAGGTGGTAGGCGCCAGGCTGGAAGCAGCTGTGTGTAATGAGCTTTGAGGCCACCCCCAGCCAAGTGCAACGCAGCACGCTGCTGTGAGCCCTGATCTGCAGCGCAGGCTATATTTGGTCCGAGATTACACCCTGCTTGGCCTGGATTGGTCCCTGTCAGGGCTCTGCAGGGTGGATTTTTTTCTCCCCTAGCTAACGTAAAAGCCCCCATGCAGTGTGCCTCCATATTTTCTTCCCTTGCTGCCCACTCCAGCCTGCCTGAGCTGCTGTCGCTGCTCGCTGGTACCCTCCTGAAGCATCTCAGCTGGGGCTTCGCAGGGTGCAAGGTGCAAGATGTCCCACCCCCCGGTACCAGGGACAGCCTATTCCCCAGCAGCCATTAAGATGCAAAGCTCATCTCCACGTAGGAGCCAGTCCAGGGGTGGAAAGAGGGATTTCTTTTTCCCTCCTGCCCGCCCCATCCTCTGCTGTGTATTTTCTGGAAAGGCCATTAACACCACATTACTCCTGGGCACGAAGAGTGGCTGTTGGGGAGAAACATTGTCCCTCCGACTCCCTGCTGCATGGGCCGAGGAGGGCAGCATGGCTGGGAGGAGAGATCAGCCCCTGCACTGAGCTTGCAGCCAGCACGTTGCCGGCATTCCCAGTGTGTTGCCATGGCTGTGCTGAGATGGGGCAGCTTGTGCCAGCAGTCAGGGGAGAAGTGTCACTCAGCACCATGCTGCAAGATGCCCAGTTACCTTGGCGATGCTTCTGGAAAAATGTGGAGAGGAGAGGGGATGGAGGGGAGACTTGCAGCAGAGAAATTGCTTGGCGGGTGGGAGCTGGAGTGGGAGCTGTGGATGGTGGGAGCAGTGGGGGAAAGCCCTCCTGGTGCATGAGCTGCCCCTGGCTAGCATAAACCTGCCCTGGCCAAAGTGGGGTGGTGGCAGCAGAGGCAGACACGGGGCTGGCGGGTCTGCAACCAAGTGGTGGGTGGACTTGGATAAATCTGGTGGAGCCACAGCACACCTGATGTTTGCACATGCTAGAGGAGTGAGAAGTGACCTGGGATGGTGGGAGGGGGTACTCTTTGGTTTGAGGATTTGTGGAAAGAGGTTGGAAAACATATTGTGAAGAGCAGTTCTCTTTATCGGAAATGGCCAGCTGTTTCCCTGGATGTTTCTTCAAACCTCCTGATCATCTGCCCTAGGCACAGCTTTCTTCTCCCTTAATCTCCTAGTGAATATTCAAAACCAGATACACTTGTAGCACTGGAAGAGCCTCTTTCAGAGTTGTTTCAGCACTGCAGAGAGCAACCCTTAGGAAAGAAACTCAAAAAATAAACAGTAGCTGCTGCCATGTTTCCCCCCTCCTTTCTCACCCAGTTTGTGGAAACCCAGTGCACCACTGGTTCCCTTTCCCATCCGTTCATGGCATTTCCCTGCCTGGTACCAAGGCAGTAAAGCCATGGGATGTCTGCACCCGGATGAGATGCTGGGTGCTAGAAACCTGTTGTGCCGCAGCTTCACCCATGTTGCCTGAGTGTCTGGTTGAAGGTTTGTTGGGGTATATTTGCATCAGGGCAGACGTGTCCTCAGTGGTCTCCAAACCTTCTGCCAGAGTAGCTTCCCCAGCCTTTGCTGCAGATGGTACCACCAAAGGCTGAGCTTGGGCTCCCTGGGGCTTTCCACGCGGCAGCCCGAGGAAGCTGCACATATGATGGAGAAACAGGCAGAAGCGGGATGTGGCATTTCTAAATGTATGGGGTGATCAGAGGGGTTGCTGTGACCCTGGCATGGAGGCATGCCGAACCTCAGCAAGTATATGGCAGCACATGTTCTGGGCTGGGTGGAAAGGTGCCTCAGTCACGTCAAGACTTGGATTAATTGACTTGCGGTGTTACTAATATGTTGAACCTTGCTTCTCAGCTGCTCACAAAGACCCAGTGTTTGACTTTTGGACCCAGAAGTCATCTTGAACTGATGCAGGCTTTGTAATGAATGAAACCTCTGTCCATAACGCGGTGGTGGGTGTCCCTCTCCTGTCTCCCAAGGAATGCTGCTGGCTGATCCTCATTTGCCTGTTAGAGCCGTTAATTGACTCGTCTGCATCCTCTCGGATCGCAGCTGGCAGCCCTTTGCTCACTGGGATGCCAAGTTGTTCGATAGCTCAAGTGACTCAAAATCCAGCAGTGAGGATGGGTGGTGCTGGGGTCGCCTGTGCCGTGGGTGGGTGGGCTGGATGGTCACAGGGGTGCACAGACCCCTGGGGTGCTGGACGACTCTGCATCCACCGGCTTCCAGGGGGACCGCACTATCTGAAATTGGAGTGATGAGTATGGGAGAAGGAGGAGGAGCGGAAAAATATAAATAAAGCTTCTGGAGGGGAAAACCCACGAAGAGGAGAAAATAGCAGCGCCAGTTTATTCTTTCCCCACCCTCCCTCGTACCTCTCGGCTTGTATCGTCTTTTAACTGTGGTGGCGGGTGTGCTCCGGCTTCTGCACATGTGTGCGCTTGTGTGCGACTGCCCTTCCCCTAGTGGGCACGCACTGGGTGGAGGGGGGTCTGGGGACGGGTTCTGGTGCTTTGGTGCCACCTTCCAAGTCATTGTGTCCTCATGTAGCGCTGCCCTAGATCTGCTCATCTCAGTTGACAAACCAGAACGTCAGCGGCCACGATGCACCAAACCAAAAAAGACATTTAGGCCAAGTAACGCTAATGCTGCTGACCTCAGGAATAGACCTGGAAAATCCTGTTTTGAGCCCAAAGGTGACATCCTGCCACTTAGCTTGTTTTATTCCAAAGTGGATGCATAAGAAAACCTAAGTTTTAATAGCAAATAATTGCTATTGCATTTAAAATGTACACTGAGGGTTCCCATTTCAAGCAGATGACAGTCAAACAGGTCAGTGCTCATTCACAGGCACCAGCCTGGTATCTCCCAGCCCAGGTGCTGGAGGTGGGCAGCGCTGGGCAGAGCCGTGCTGCCAGCAGTGCTGCAGCTGCCCGCGCCGGCAGGGCTGCCACTGGGCAGTGCCACGCTTCTGCTTATTGTCACTGTAGTGCTAGTCCCTGGGCAGCCTAAAAAGCTTAAAACACTCAAAACATTTGTCAGTGAAATGTTGATCTTTGTTGAATGTTTATTTTTGCAGAAATCTGTAAGTATTGCTTATTAAATGTATCTTTTTTTCTTCTGTTTCTCCTAGGATCCTGCAGGAATCTTTGAACTGGTGGAGCTTGTTGGCAATGGTACCTATGGGCAGGTCTATAAGGTAAGGGCTCCACCTGAAGCGATCCCGTTTGCCTTGGCCTTGTGTTGAACATGGAGCATCCCAGCACATCATCTTGGCTGGGTTTGACCTGTTTCTGGCCTAACAAGAAGCCTGGCTGAGTTCCGGCTTTTTGGTCTTGTGTGCAAGTACGGTGTAGTACACAGAGCTCTTATAATAAGCAATTCATATTAGTTCTGAAACTGTCACTAGAAAATAAATAACTTTTTTTTTTCTCTCCCCCCAGTTGCTTTTTATTGATTATATGATGAGGAGGGAGTGAAAAGTCTGCACTTTAATAGATAAACCTCGATCTCTTCTAAAGAGCTGAGTTTACAGCTGCAATAGGCTGCCAAATGAGTTTGCTACAGTCCAGTGCTCTGCTCGGACACGGGCTGGCTGCCACCCTTTCCACTGGCAGAAACCTGCTGCAGGAGAAAAAACACAACAGTCAGTAGGCTTGCTTTAAATTTCTATAAACATCTGGAAGCAGCTTTCCGGATGAGAATAGTGAGGGGATTGTGGAGAACAGAATTTTAAACCCATTAACTTCTTTACAGAAATGTTTAAAATGTCCACCCTCTGCTAAGTTACATCACTTGTCCCAAACACCTTAGCTTGGGGGATTTCCAGAATTTGTCGTCTCGGTGGGGTTTTTTTGTGGATGATTTTTGTGGGGTTGGGGAGGGATTGAATTATTTCAAAGTCTGGGTTTATCTGCACTGAATATTTTGGTGGGGAGATGTTTCTCGGCATGATTGCATGAGGAATTTGCCAAATATTTCGGGTCTGCTGGGAGACAATAGTTCCCCTGGGCCCCATTCTCCAAAAACTTCTGTATGCGTGGGCATAAGTTCTGTATGTATGTGTACTCGTATATGTGTGTGTGCACACAGAGATCCTGTTTACCTATCGTGCCCATATTCTCTTTTGACTGTAGAAAAGAATATATTCATGTGTTCTTACTTGGTTGCTTGGAAGGCACAGCTCTTGCCTGTCACGCGGTAAAAGACAGTGAGCTGCCCCTGCTGAAGAGAAGAGAAGGATGCTTAAAAAGCTACCTGTCAGGAAATATTTGTTCTGAATTCTGGTTTCCCCCTCCTCCCACTGCTGTAGGCTAATCCCATCAGTACAAGGATAGAGGGATTGAAGTGAACTGAAGATGAACTGGAACTTCTGGAGTTTCAAATGTGTGAATTTTTGAACTGGAGTAAGTTTAGTAAGTTTAAAAAAAAAAAAAAAAAAAAAAAAAAAAAAAAAAAAAAAAAAAAAAAAAAACCAAACAAAAACAAAGGAAAAAAAACCCAAAGCCACACCAAAACTGTTCTTATCAAGGTTATATTCCAGGGAGCCTTCTCCTCTGGTACTGGTTGTTTTTCCACCGTGCACTCCCCGCCACGGGAGCTCCCTTCTGAACTGTTTTTCTTCTCAGTTGCTAAAATAATGGTAGAGGGTGACCTAATTTTAACTGGTGCATATTTCTAACAATCAGTGGAAACTATGCGCCTTTAATGGCCTTTTGAAAGCGTCATGTTTTTGTGGAGAGCAGAAAAGGGAAATAAGCTAGCTGGTGCTGGCACTGCTGGTTGCAGGGCTCTGCTGATCAGGTTTCCTCTTGCTGTCTTTGATTCTTTCAGTGCGTCTGTGTGTTACCTCAAAGTGGGGGAAAACCATGCAGAAATGTCCAAGTGTAGGCTTTCTGGGAGGTGAGCACTTCTGTGTTCCCTTTTTCTCCTGATGTACAAGAAAAAATCCTCCTCTTAACTGTTCTTAACTTGCTGGAGTAATCAGATTGTCCTTGGTGTGATTCACTTGGTACCAGTGCCAGACAGGGTGGTACCGGGGGGGGGGGGCGGAATGCTGCTGTCCAAACCAAACTAGTAAGTAACGAGGTATGAGTTCAGGCTAAGACTGACTTCAGAGCTCTCTTAAACTGAAGTCTTGGAGTAGCAGCCACTCTATAAACAAAAGGAGACTTTGATATAAAGCATACATAACTGTTTATGGTGTCCCACCCTAAAACCTAGCGCGGAAATAAGATCTCTGCGATTCTTTTCCTCCAGATACCACTGCTGTATTTATGTCTTGCAGCAAAACAAATGGATCAACTTTCATAACACACAGATCTTCTGGCTCCCTTCTAAAACAGCCTTTAGAAGTGGTCCATACCTAGGAGCAGTGTCCTCTGTAATCAGATGTTTGTTCCACTGCCATTTCAAACCCATCTCAGGTGGGGCTGGGGTTTTCCCACCCCTCTGTGCTGGTGCTACCCGAGGTGCACCATTGCTGACGTCTTAGAGGCTGTGTGTGTCTCAAGTTATGTTTTTAGATGTGGAAGGAGTAATTCATTGTGGTGCCTGCTCTGGTGCTGGCTTCCTAGCCTGGGCTTTGCAGGTCCAACCCCTGTGCTCTCTGCTAGGAGCAGTCACCTGGTGAGCACCACCTCCCCTTCGCACGACTGGTCCCTCTCTGAAGTGAGTAGAGCAGCTCTCCCGTTGGGAAGAAGCAGAAGTGAAATGCTTATACCAGGCAGGGGAGAGCATCTTATGTTTGTGTGCTGCAAGATTGCCGAAACAGGATTGCAGCCCTGATGTTTCCCCCTGAAAACCTGATGTAGCAGCCAGCTCTAATACTGCCGCGTGGCCATATTTGTGTTGGAGACTACAAGTGTCCTGGTGGTAACCAGTTGGCCTGCCCAGGACTTGGAGGGACATGTGCAAGGTGCAAACCTCCCATTGATCCCATGGGATAAAGTGCACAGTTACGTTGTTCTGACAACTGAATGGTATCGCAGCCTGACAGGGTGGGGAGCCTGAGAAATATCTGGTTGTACCACAGTAACAGGAGCCATCAGAGAGCAGTGGTTCATGGAGCCAACCTCAGGATCTGCTGCGTTGGGAGCCCCTGCCACAGCACATGCCTTCTCCTTGCTTGTAGGAGAAAAGATACATTGGCCAAGTCTGGTGCACATTAAGAGCTCCCAAAGGGAGTGCACCCCTCTGCCGAAGCGTGGGCACTGGGATGAAGCTCGCTGCGCAAGTTGCTTTGGTCCTGCTTTCTGGGTCATGATTTGAAGATCCCTTTCAGGTGGTATACAATGCTTCTGTAAATCAAAGCCTTGTTCTCTGAGGCTTCTGCTCCAGAGGCAAAGGTAACTTGTTCGGATTGATCTCTGTATTTTTAAGTAAAGGCCTTTCTTTGCTCAGGACTGCAGGTTAAAATGTTGCTGTGGTGCTTCCCAGCTCTGGCCATACCCCAGGGGCACCTGAACGCTGCAGGAGCCCTCAGCAGTGACCTGCTCTGCTTGCTCTCCTCTAACCCCAACCATAAGCTCTTCACTTTGGATAATTGCAGAGAGAAATAACATTCCTTGTTCACTACTTAACAATCTCTTGTGAATAGCTTGATTTTTATTTTCATGAGGGACCGCGCTGGTGATGGTTTATCTCTCTAATTGAATCAGAAGCTTTTCTTTATTTTCTAATAATCCTGCATCTAATGTTACAGATTGTAAACTCTTTTTGATAAAAGACTGAGAGCTTGCTAGCTCCTGTGTCAGACACTGTTGCAGTAGGGGATTTTTGTGTCCTTAGATTTTTTTTTTTTTATTTAAGGTGTTTAAAGAAATGGCTAACAGGAATACAGTGATTTGGACTTGGGGAATTGAGCCATTGCCTCAGTGTTTTTTAGCAGGTAGCTGATGGCTGAAAGCAAAACTGTAAACGTAAAAATCACTAAGACCCTTTAGAGCATTATCTAAAGTGTGAGGAAATGCTGCTTTTATGTTCCAGAACATTATTATTGCTGCTTGTCTCTACTTTGCATTGGAGAGCAAGCAAAAAGTCCTTAAAATACCGTGTATGCTTAGATTGCCTGGATAAATCACAGCATCAGGGCCACAACTGTTGGTGTGTCACACAGCAACAAATACGCAGGTTGAAAGTAAAAGGTACACTAGGTTACTCAAAAATACCTTCCAACAGATCGTTACAAAGCTGGGGGAAGACATGCAGTGGGCTACTTATTGTGCACTGAGTATGTTAAAAACCAAAGCAATCCCCTGGTCTTTTTAGACCTGTTTAGCCATGGGTGTTCACATGCTGGCCTGTGCACAGCATCACCAAAGCAGGATTTTGATGCAAGCCTTTGCAATAGTGAAAAAAATCAGTAAATAGGTCGGATGGTAACCTTTGCCTCTCTCACCTTATAGTTTTACAACATTGAACAGGGAAACGAATGATGTGAGATTACATACTCACATGCTTCTTCCCAACCGTACCAGGAGGACAACGATCATTAATGTCAAGTGCTGCTTTGCTGAGTGCCCTGGGGATGTGGCTGTCCATTTACAGCTTTAGCAAGACTTTATTTTACAGGGTACAAGATACAATACTGTGGGCTAACTCCATAACTGCACAATAACTATTGATTGTTTAATTAGCTGGTAAATGCCATATAATCGCTAAGCCACTATGCAGCATTATTCTGTGCTCTAATTTAGAGCATGTGGGTTCTGCAAGCTGCAAGTCTCACAGCTGTGGCTCCCCAGGGAGCTCCTCCACCATTATGACACGATGGGGCAGAGCAGGGTTCACCCCCAGGAGCCACCTTGGGCTGCCACCAGCCACCTCCAGGCAGGGCGCCTGGCCACGGGCTGTCCCTATCCCCTGCCAGGCCAAGTTAGGCAGCCATTTGAAGAGGACATGGTTTTTGCAATTGCTCTTTGTTGCACTATGTTGTGTCTGTCTGGGGTACAATACATGGGGGAAAAGGATGAAGAAATGCATCCCAAGGTCTTTTGTTAGGGTTTATTTATTTATTACCCAGCTGGCATTTGCCAGAGGCCAGGACTGATCCGCCTGGAGGCAAACCCCCAGGTTTGAGCCAGTAGATGAAGATGTTGAGGTGTGTGGGTATGAGAAAGTGAATAAAGCATTTGAAATCCAAGGTCACCTGTTTCTGGAGAGCTGGGAGCAGCAGGGCTGCTGGGACACTTTGGTCCC